TGGAGTAGCTCAGCTGTTACAGCTTCCCTGTAGCCTTGAAGAACTAACAATAGCAGAGGGAACTGACCAACATGAGTGCATCTACTAGAAATAGCAACATTGCAGTGCATAAAAATTGTGGTAGCATTGTCTGAAGGTACTGGGAAACCCAGCCACAGTGGTATGGGCAACAAGCGCAAAAATCCTAATACTGGGGGACTTCAACCCCCCAGAAATTGACTGGAAAAACATTGCTCCCCCACGGCTGGTCACGGGACATGGAGGGTAAAGCTGCTAGACGTCGCAGACCAACACTTACAAGCACCAAGATAGACAGGAGACGATCTACCAGCAGAATCACACTGGGAAATTTCCCCAAAATGAAGCAGATGTTTAGAGAATAGAATACAAGAGGCCTATTGGAGCTAGTGACCACTGCATTGTTAGGCTTGAATTCACAGTGGTTACACAAAGAGTAACTAGCAACAGTAACTAGCTTAACCAATCCTGATCTTACAAAAGCAGCAGTAACTAGCACCTAACTTGACGCTACAAAAGCAGCAGTAACTAGGACCTAACTAGACGCTACAAAAGTACCAGTAACTAGGACCTAACTAGACGCTACAAAAGCAACTCCCCCCCCCCCTACACAGTAAGGTTATGACCCCTATAAAAACATCAATCTCTCCCCTACAAGAGAAGCTATACGCTTACCAACTGAGATCCATCTTCCGAGTACAAAAAATCATTTCATGATTCGCTAAATTCCCCACCAGCCGTCCAGGATCAGTTGTAGTAACTCCATTTGCTAGTAACGGCCCACACCTGCTGGTAGTGGTCCACACCTGCTGCCCAGCCTGGTCTACTACCTCCCACCTACACACCTGTAACTAAACACACACACCTGTAACCTGTGGGCCTCTTTATCTACTCGCCACTCTGGGTGAGAGAAAAAGATTAAGTTTTCTCACCTAGAGAAAAGTTTCTGATAGGTGAGAAACGTCTCACATTGGCCAAAACTTTGACAACATGTGGACGAAACGTTGGTTCGTCTGACGTCACATAGACTGACATCAGATGGACGTCATATTAGACTGACAATTTACAGTCAGAGCATTTACAGCAAAGATTTATCACCACTATACAGTCTGAAAGTCCCTTGTGGAACATATGTCAAAAAATCCATTTGTCAAAATTATGAAAACTGCGAGAGATGTATCAAGTCTTTAAGTCTTGGAGCCGGTCGGCCGAGCGGATAGCACGCTGGACTTGTGATCCTGTGGCCCTGGGTTCGATCCCAGGCGCCGGCGAGAAACAATGGGCAGAGTTTCTTTCACCCTATCCCCCCTGTTACCTAGCAGTAAAATAGGTACCTGGGTGTTAGTCAGCTGTCACGGGCTGCTTCCTGGGGGTGGAAGCCTGGTCGAGGACCGGGCCGCGGGGACACTAAAGCCCCGAAATCATCTCAAGATAAGATTGATTAACTCTTTTTCGCTCTTATTAATTTGAGTATTAGAGCAAATAGCTAGTAGAGTATACATTAGAGAATATATACACACACTCTTCATGTATACGAGGATATCTATACCTTCACACTTTGCCTATACGATAGCGGGTGTGTATGGGTGTATGGAAGACTGTGTATGAGAGTGTGGGTGGTGTATGGGTGGTGTAGTGTGGGCTGAGTGTGGGTAGTGAGATCCGAACCCTGAACTATCACCCTAGCCACACTGAATAACCCAGTGCCGACACGCCGACGGCCCTGTAGTGTAAAATATGTATATATATACTGATGCTATTCTTAGGGGGGGGGGGAGTTCACCTACCGAGCGCCCCAGGCAGTGGCAAATCTTGCACCGTGAATGTTCATGTTGCAAGCAATGGTTCGTGCAATGTTATCATTTATAAAGACACACACCCACCAGCACCCCCCATGAAGATATCAAAGATGATACGAAAGTCAACACGGGAAGTTTAACCGGTCGGTTTGAATTGGTAGTTATCTAGGATATGTATCTATTGATGTGGTTGTGATACATATGTATCATAGGCCCCCCCCCCATACACCATAAAGTGACGTACATGTATCATCAGGCCCTCGTGGAGAGTACCATTACGTACCAGAGAAAAGCCAAATTAGATGCGACAAATCCAATTTATATAATTTATATTCACAAAATACAAACAATTTGCCTGGATTGATAATTCCCGTTTTTCGTACAAAACTAGATAGTGTGTGCGTGTGTGTGTGTGTGTGTGTGTGTGTGTGTGTGTGTGTGTGTGTGTGTGTGTGTGTGTGTGTGTGTGTGTGTGTGTGTGTGTGTGTGAAAAAGTCAGTAGTTAATAACAGTTGCTTGAGTGACAGTTGAGAGGCGGGCCGACAGAGCCAGAGCTCAACCCCCGCAAGCACAAACTAGATAATTACACAGAGTGACCAAGCTCTATAAACCAGTCCATCCCACTGACCTAAAACTCTTTACACCAAATCTTAAATGACAGACTCGCTCCTCATAACACGACTGGTATAAGACGGATCAAACTCCCACCAGTAATACAGTAGTGATTAAAATCCTCACATATAAGTGTAAATACAATACCCTGGGGTATTGTATTTACCCTGGGGGGGGGGCGGCAGGATATACACCCACTGTATCAGATCACGCCATTCAGTATAAACGCTATCAGTACCGTGACACTGAAGCGATAATGACCTTGTTAAACCTTTATCTGGCAGTAAGTACATAGTCTCTCTACCATCATACACCGTAACAATGCCTGCCATTGAAGGTTAATTATCGAACCAGGTTGTTAGCGCTACCAATTAAGCAATATTCAAACGCCGCCAGGGGAAGCTGTTCAGTACGGGCTGACTTTTACCCAAAGAACAAGGCGGTTAGGTTAGTTATTATCGCAACAAATGTCTGTCTGTCTGTCTGTCACCTCGTTAGACGTAATCGGTGATTAAACGCATTCGCGTTCAACGTCTCTGTTGAAGGAAATACATCGTTGTATTTCCTATATCCCCCTTGTAGGAGACTACATACTTCCTACATACAATACTAGTATACTGTATTTATTATACTACACATTATACACAAGCTTGGGTATAATAAAGTATACTGTATACAGTATACTTCAGTCTTAAACGAGGTTCAGGCCTAATGCATAATACTAATTGGTAATTGGTCTGTTGCTGTGTGGTGGTCTTAATGACCCTCCCGAGGTTGATGGGTCTTAAGTCCACACCTGGCCAAGTCCACACCTGGCCAAGTCCACACCTGGCCAAGTCCACACCTGGCCAAGTCCACATCTGGCCAACTGCACACCTGGCAATTATTTTTAATAGTTTAATTGATATACAAGTTGATGGCTTTAGTCCGTCAGTGAGTGCCAACACTGGTGGCACTCAACACTGGTGGCACTCCCAGCAATGGCAACTGCTGGAAGAACAATTGGGCAACATTCCATCTGCAAATGTTGTACCGATCTTCAAGAAAGGTGATAGGGAGGAGGCACTTAACTATAGACCTGTATCACTGACAAGCATCCCCTGTAAAATACTGGAAAGAATAATTAGGCTACGACTGGTTGCACACCTGGAGAACATTAGGTTTGTGAACAAACATCAACATGGGTTCTGGACAGGGAAATTATGCCTAACAAACCTTCTTGGAATTCTATGATAAAATAACGAGGATAAGACAGGACAGAGATGGTTGGGCAGACTGCATTTTTCTGGACTGCCAAAAAGCCTTTGATACAGTACCGCACATGAGACTGCTGTTCAAGCTCGAGAGGCAGGCGGGGGTGGGGGGAAAGGTCCTAGCATGGATAAGGAACTACCTAACAGGAAGGAGCCAAAGAGTTACGGTAAGGGGCGAGAAGTCGGACTGGCGAACAGTAACAAGTGGAGTACCACAAGGATCGTTGCTGGGACCAATTCTATTTCTTGTATATGTTAACGACATGTTTACAGGCGTAGAGTCCTACATGTCGATGTTTGCGGATGACGCAAAGTTGATGAGAAGAGTTGTGACAGATGAGGATTGTAGGATCCTCCAAGAGGACCTGAACAGGTTGCAGAGATGGTCAGAGAAATGGCTACTGGAGTTCAACACGAGCAAATGTAAAGTTATGAAAATGGGACTAGGTGATAGGAGACCAAAGGGACAGTTCACAATGAAGGGGAACAGCCTACCTGTGACGACGCGCGAAAGAGACCTGGGGGTGGACGTAACACCTAATCTATCTCCTGAGGCACATATAAATAGGATAACGACAGCAGCGTACTCTACACTGGCAAAAGATAGAACATCATTCAGAAACCTAAGTAAGGAGGCATTTAGGGAGCTTTACACTGCCTACGTAAGGCCAGTCTTAGAGTATGCCGCCTCATCATGGAGTCCCCACCTGAAGAAACACATAAGGAAACTGGAAAAGGTTTAGAAGTTTGCAGCGAGACTCGTCCCAGAGCAACGAGGGATGGGGTATGAGGAGCGCCTGAGGGAACTGTGCCTTACGACACTAGAAAGAAGAAGGGAGAGGGGGGACATGATAGGAACGTATAAGATACTCAGAGGGATTGACAGAGTGGACATAGACGAAATGTTCACACGGAATAGTAACAGAACGAGGGGACATGGATGGAAGCTTGAAACTCAGATGTGTCACAGAGATGTTAGGAAGTTTTCTTTTAGCGTGAGAGTAGTGGGAAAATGGAATGCATTTCAGGAACAGGTTGTGGAAGCAAATACTATTCATAATTTTAAAACTAGATATGATAGGGAAATGGGACAGGAGTTATTGTTGTAAACAACCGATGGCTGGAAAGACGGGATCCAAGAGTCAATGCTCGATCCTGCAGACACAAATAGGCGAATACACGCACGCGCACGCACGCACAAATCGATAGGGGCGCCATCTTTGAGAGTAGAGTATATTCTTGAGTTACAAGGGAAGCCCAGCACTTGGGAGGCGCGGTAATCGATCTCTCTCCCGTACCCCCACCCCACCATTGTTACCAGCACTCCCAACACTGGTGGCACTCCCAACACTGGCGGCACTCCCAACACTGGCGGCACTCCCAACACTGGCGGCACTGCCAACACTGGTGGCACTGCCAACACTGGCGGCACTCCCAACACTGGCGGCACTCCCAACACTGGCGGCACTCCCAACACTGGCGGCACTCCCAACACTGGCGGCACTCCCAACACTGGCGGCACTCCCAACACTGGCGGCACTCCCAACACTGGTGGCACTCCCAACACTGGCGGCACTCCCAACACTGGCGGCACTCCCAACACTGGCGGCACTCCCAACACTGGTGGCACTCCCAACACTGGCGGCACTCCCAACACTGGCGGCACTCCCAACACTGGCGGCACTCCCAACACTGGCGGCACTCCCAACACTGGCGGCACTCCCAACACTGGTGGCACTCCCAACACTGGTGGCACTCCCAACACTGGCGGCACTCCCAACACTGGCGGCACTCCCAACACTGGCGGCACTCCCAACACTGGCGGCACTCCCAACACTGGTGGCACTCCCAACACTGGTGGCACTCCCAACACTGGTGGCACTCCCAACACTGGCGGCACTCCCAACACTGGCGGCACTCCCAACACTGGCGGCACTCCCAACACTGGTGGCACTCCCAACACTGGTGGCACTCCCAACACTAGTGGCACTCCCAACACTGGCGGCACTCCCAACACTGGCGGCACTCCCAACACTGGTGGCACTCCCAACACTGGCGGCACTCCCAACACTGGCGGCACTCCCAACACTGGCGGCACTCCCAACACTGGCGGCACTCCCAACACTAGTGGCACTCCCAACACTAGTGGCACTCCCAACACTGGCGGCACTCCCAACACTGGCGGCACTCCCAACACTGGCGGCACTCCCAACACTGGTGGCACTCCCAACACTGGCGGCACTCCCAACACTGGCGGCACTCCCAACACTGGCGGCACTCCCAACACTGGCGGCACATTTCCTTATCATATCTACTTTTCAAATGATAAATAGACTTTTCTTCCACAACCTGTTCCTTTAGTCCATTCCCTTATCCCCAACTACCCGGAGAGCCGGTCGGCCGAGCGGACAACACGCTGGACTTGTGATCCTGTGGTCCTGGGTTCGATCCCAGGCGCCGGCGAGAAACAATGGGGCAGAGTTTCTTTCACCCTATGCCCCTGTTACCTAGCAGTAAAATAGGTACCTGGGTGTTAGTCAGCTGTCACCGGCTGCTTCCTGGGGGTGGAGGCCTGGTCGAGGACCGGGCCGCGGGGACACTAAAAACCCCGAAATCATCTCAAGATAACCTCAAGATAGCCTCAAGATAACCCTCACGCTACAGGAAAACTTTCTTACATCTCTATGTTATATCTGAGTTCCCAGCTTCCACCCGTGTTCCCATGGGTTGTTGGTGTTCGCTGAGAACATGTGTACTCGACTAGTTGTGCTTGCGGGGTTTGAGCTCTGGCTCTTTGGTCCCGCCTCTCAACCGTCAATCAACTGGTGTACAGGTTCCTGAGCCTATTGGGCTCTATCATATCTACACTTGAAACTGTGTATGGAGTCAGCCTCCACCACATCACTGCCTAATGCATTCCATTTGTCAACCACTCTGACACTAAAAAAAGTTCTTTCTAATATCTCTGTGGCTCATTTGGGCACTCAGTTTCCACCTGTGTCCCCTTGTGCGTGTGCCCCTTGTGTTAAATAGCCGGTCTTTATCTACCCTAAAGTGTGTGTGCATGTGTGTTTGTGTTTTGTGTGCGTGTGCGTGTGTGTGTATTCGTGTTCGTTTCAACGTTCTGGAGTGAACCACTCAAACTATTTTCGCTATTAGTCAACAACTCTTCGCATAACTGCTCTGGGGGTGAGGACACGATTCTAACTAGCCATATCACAGCTGTATTTTTTACGTAGTGGCAAAGCGAGACAACACAGCTGACATAACTACAATATTCTTGCAAAGTTGCAAATCCAGGAAATAACTTGACTTTGAAAAACCTTTTCACAAGAAACACTCATGAATTCAGTCACGAACTTAAGATGTCTTGAGACATCGAACTTAGGATGTCTTAAGATGTTCGTCGTCTTGATAATCTGCCTTTGCAACTTGCAACACTTGCATGAGCGGTCAACAATGCTGTCCACTTTTTGTCGGAAACGTTTTGGTAAACGTATTCAAGCAACTCGCTATAGTGGAGACCATTTATAACGAACAAATGGTTACAGAAATGGATCTATAAATTTTCTAGCCTGTCCTCTAAAAAGGGGGTGGTTAATGTAATAGCACAAGTAAGTGCAATTATGTACTATGTATGACAGTCAGGAATTGTACTTATTTTCTTTTTACTTATTTTGTACTTTTTATTTTGTACTAATTGTACTTATTTTCACTTAGTATTAAACCGTACTGTCAAATATATTGTGAATATTTGAGTTTACCTGAAAAGCAGAATAGGAAACCACGACCTAACCTAACCTTCTTAGTGTTTGAAGATAAGCATTTTATTGCTTCTTAATTACAATTAGTACTTAACCTATAGCTATATTGATACTACAGTTTTATAAAACTAATAAAACAAAGCTAAAATATATCAATAAATTGTAAAGTAAATAAGGATATTTTCAAATTTTGTATATAAAATCTCTATTGTTTAATCAAACTGAATAAGTAATTCCTGATATTTAAAACTTGTGTATAGCGAATTGAACTTGAAAACTTAATTCTAAGTGTCTTAACAGAAAACGAGAATAAATGGGGAGATAAATGTAACAGCCCCATAAGTGCAATTATGTACTATGTATGACAGTCAGGAAATGTACTTATTACACTTAGTATTAAACCGTACTGTCAATGGGAAGAATGGGTTGCCATCTTCCCAATATATTCCTGTCTGTAGAGAAACTTTTCGGTATTATTCATGAAATTTGGTTAAACCATCCACTTTCAGACGTAGAATTGGAACCATACACTGCCAGCTGTACAGATTGAACCATACACTGTCAGCTGTACAATTGGAACCACACACTGTCAGCTGTACAATTAGAACCATCCACTGTCAGCTGTACAATTAGAACCACACACTGTCAGCTGTACAATTAGAACCATCCACTGTCAGCTGTACAATTAGAACCACACACTGTCAGCTGTACAATTAGAACCATCCACTGTCAGCTGTACAATTAGAACCACACACTGTCAGCTGTACAATTAGAACCACACACTGTCAGCTGTACAATTGGAACCACACACTGTCAGCTGTACAATTGGAACCACACACTGTCAGCTGTACAATTGGAACCACACACTGTCAGCCGTACAATTGGAACCACACACTGTCAGCCGTACAATTGGAACCACACACTGTCAGCCGTACAATTGGAACCACACACTGTCAGCTGTACAATTAGAACCATCCACTGTCAGCTGTACAATTAGAACCATCCACTGTCAGCTGTACAATTGGAACCACACACTGTCAGCTGTACAATTAGAACCATACACTGTCAGCTGTACAATTAGAACCATCCACTGTCAGCTGTACAATTAGAACCATACACTGCCAGCTGTACAATTAGAACCATACACTGTCAGCTGTACAATTGGAACCACACACTGTCAGCTGTACAATTGGAACCACACACTGTCAGCTGTACAGCTAGAACCACACACTGTCAGCTGTACAATTGGAACCACACACTGTCAGCTGTACAATTGGAACCACACACTGTCAGCTGTACAATTGGAACCCCACACTGTCAGCTGTACAATTGGAACCACACACTGTCAGCTGTACAATTAGAACCATCCACTGTCAGCTGTACAATTGGAACCACACACTGTCAGCTGTACAATTAGAACCATACACTGTCAGCTGTACAATTAGAACCATCCACTGTCAGCTGTACAATTAGAACCATACACTGCCAGTTGTACAATTAGAACCATACACTGTCAGCTGTACTATTGGAACCACACACTGTCAGCTGTACAATTGGAACCACACTGTCAGCTGTACAATTGGAACCACACACTGTCAGCTGTACAGCTAGAACCATCCACTGTCAGCTGTACAATTAGAACCATCCACTGTCAGCTGTACAATTAGAACCATCCACTGTCAGCTGTACAATTAGAACCATCCACTGTCAGCTGTACAATTAGAACCATACACTGCCAGCTGTACAGCTAGAACCATCCACTGTCAGCTGTACAGCTAGAACCATCCACTGTCAGCTGTACAATTAGAACCATACACTGCCAGCTGTACAGCTAGAACCATCCACTGTCAGCTGTACAGCTAGAACCATCCACTGTCAGCTGTACAATTAGAACCACACACTGCCAGCTGTACAATTAGAACCACACACTGCCAGCTGTACAATTAGAACCACACACTGTCAGCTGTACAATTAGAACCATCCACTGTCAGCTGTACAATTAGAACCACACACTGTCAGCTGTACAATTAGAACCATCCACTGTCAGCTGTACAATTAGAACCACACACTCTGTCAGCTGTACAATTAGAGCCATCCACTGTCAGCTGTACAATTAGAACCACACACTGTCAGCTGTACAATTAGAGCCATCCACTGTCAGCTGTACAATTAGAACCATCCACTGTCAGCTGTACAATTAGAACCATCCACTGTCAGCTGTACAATTAGAACCATCCACTGTCAGCTGTACAATTAGAACCATCCACTGTCAGCTAGACAGTTGGGAAGAACTCCTGACATTCAAATGTTACAAGTTACTTGAAGAACTTAAAGTCTTCAGACTTAAGTTCACCGTCTGAACTTCAAGCTTTGAGACCTTGCCCTTTCCACACTATTTTCTCTAAGATATAACATACATACATATGTATCTGTATACACATATACTGTACATACTAACACAGTTCTTCTGGCGCTCGGGAAGAACATATACACGTTAACAAACACCTCTGAAGGATCTACTTCTGACGATAAGGAAAAAAACTAATATTCCACTCGCTTCAACTTTGACAGATTTCAGAACCTGTCGAGAAAGATCAGAGGGGAACTGCTGTAACGGACCGTTTTATAGGACCAACACCACCACCACCTCCTGTGTTAACAGGACCTACACACCACCACCTGTGTTAACAGGACCAACACCACCACCACCTGTGTTAACAGGACCTACACCACCACCACCTGTGTTAATAGGACCTACACCACCACCACCTGTGTTAACAGGACCTACACCACCACCACCTGTGTTAACAGGACCTGCACCACAACCTTCTGTGTAACAGGACCTACACCACCACCACCTGTGTTAACAGGACCTACACCACCACCTTCTGTGTTAACAGGACCTACACCACCACCTTCTGTGTTAACAGGACCTACACCACCACCACCTCCTGTGTTAACAGGACCTACACACCACCACCTGTGTTAAAAGGACCTACACCACCACCTTCTGTGTTAACAGGACCTACACCACCACCACCTGTGTTAACAGGACCTACACCACCACCTGTGTTAACAGGACCTACTACACCACCAACACCTATGTAACAGGACCTACAGCACCACCCCTATTCAACAGGACCTACAACCAGGAGTCACTCACACTACTTCCATAAAGCTATGCCCATCATTCTCCCGTGTCTGGCGTCCTGTTGACACAAGAATATCAACTCATTCCTATATATTCACTTATCTAAGAATACGATAAGTCAAGGCACAGAATGATAAAATGAAAGGTGTGGAGGAAACAAGGCTACAACTTCTCTGACCTTTCAATCAACATATCCACAGAAACCCCGACCAAAAAAATATTGCATTCGTTGCAAAAATATAAGTTACCACACACACAGAAATCCCAATTGCGTGTTGCATTCAGTAGCTGTCGGTAGCTCAGTCGATCAAGGCAGCTTCTGGGATGCTCCCGGACGCAGGTTCGAATCCTCGTCACGGCCCTTGTGGATTTGTTCACACGTTGCAATATTATAGACATTAGGTGATCATGTGAGAGAATGAGGACAACATGGAGGGTGCTGGATGGAGTATACATGAGGTGAGACACATGTATACTCACCTGGAAGTGGGTAAGAATGAGCTAAGGCACCATATTCTCACCTGGAAGGTTGAGCCGCACGGTCGGGTATGACGGCGTGCCAGCCACAACAAGCTGAGTGGTACCCCCTGGTGACGACACAGAGGTGACGAGGCTAGTGTGGCCTAGGGTCGAGTAGGGCGAGCCGCCGCCACTGCTCGACAGCCGCTCTTTGCCGAAGTCGAGTTGAAATGCCAGGTTGAGATTCGTCGGAGACATGACCAGGCGACTCTCCTTCTCCAGGACCGGAGGGATAGATGTCAGGCTCCCGAAGGACGATCCCGAAGAGGAGGCCACGCCTACTTCTAGCCCTCCGCCACTGTCATTGGCTGGTCCGGCCTGTTGTTCGGCCCACTGTTGCTGGAACTGGTTTATAAAAACAGGCAGCGAGAGTTTCCGTTTGTTTTTGAGCGTGGCGCGGAATCTGGTGAGTTTTTTCTCGACTTTCTCCATCTTCACCTTGATGAATGGGGCGGTGGGTGGGTGTGGCGTCACTCATGCGGCCCAGGGAGTGACATGGCCACCTCCGGAGTGACATGGCCACCTCATGACTGCCTGTTATGTCGAGGAACGCCTGTCACACCAAGCTAACAACGGCGCCACACACCTGGCCGCGTCCGGGAACGGTAGTGGAGAGCGGTCACCATATTCCACACTCGCCGCACAGCGCTCAGGAAAACTGTTGGGTGGTGGTTGACGACGATAGTTACTAAGCGTCAGGCGGCGATCTGCCCGGCCACACAAGACATTGTTTACAATTCTCCTTTCACGAAGTACTTAAGGCACAAATTTCCTTTACACATAGGTCGGCGCCCTACTGGACCTGTCACCTCCACTATCACACACACACTTTTCCTGTAAAGCAATACAGACTATTAGACCCCCCGCTGACAGCCGTCCACAGCGCCCCCACTACGCGGGGGGCAACACCCCCCCCCCACCGTGTTGCAGAACTGGAGGATAGTTACTTCATCTCATGTCCTTTGATGCCCAACCACTTGGGGTTGGACGGGAGAGCGAGGGTCTGGCTTCATGCAGGTCTGTGTTCAATCCCCCGAGACCGTCCACAAGTGGTTGGGCACCATTCCTTTCCCCCGTCCCATCCCACATTCTTATGCCGATCCTTTCCCAGTGGCTTGGCGCTTTCGAAGAGCCAGCAGCCACCTCGTCGCTACAATCACACAACAATGTTTAAGTTACGAGTACACAATATGCATTACCAAATTGCAGTGTTGCGTGTATTGAGGGCCCTCCTAGCGAGGCTTCTTGAGGTTATCTTGAGATGAATTCGGCGCTTTAGTGTCCCCGCGGCCCGGTCCTCGACCAGGCCTCCACCACCCCCAGGAAGCAGCCCGTGACAGCTGACTAACACCCAGGCACCTATTTTACTGCTAGGTAACAGGGGGCATAGAGTGAAAGAAACTCTGCCCATTGTTTCTCGCCGGCGCCTGGGATCGAACCCAAGACCACAGGATCACAAGTCCAGCGTGCTGTCCGCTCGGCCGACCAGCTCCCCGAGGCAGGTGACAGGGCCTCGACTGATGGTCAACATTAGTCCAATATTATGTTAATTGTGGTCACCAGTACATCACCGAGCGAGTGTTAACTCTGTGTGGTCACCAGTACATCACCGAGCGAGTGTTAACTCTGTGTGGTCACCAGTACATCACCGAGCGAGTGTTAACTCTGTGAAGTACCAGAATATAACCCGCCAAACACACACCGAAACTACGACGTTGGTACAACGTTGGAACAAGTTTTAATACCACCTAACCAGTTATAACAACCAATATAGCAAGTTGTAACAACGTTCTAATACGTCATAAACACGTTAAGCTAAGTTGTAACAACTTTATTACAAGTTGTAACAACTTTATTACAAGTTGTAACAACTTTATTACAAGTTGTAACAACTTTATTACAAGTTGTAACAACTTTATTACAAGTTGTAACAACTTTATTACAAGTTGTAACAACTTTATTACAAGTTGTAACAACTTTATTACAAGTTGTAACAACTTTATTACAAGTTGTAACAACTGGAAGATACAACCAGTTTCGGGGTTGTGTTTCCAGTGTACTAACAAACTGAAGGAGAAATTAAATTGGGCTTTACAGTTGCAATAGAAAATGGAGTAAAGTTGCAAAAGTAACTGATGCATCGAGGGAGCCGGTCGGCCGAGCGGGCAGCACGCTGGACTTGTGATCCTGTGGTCCTGGGTTCGATCCCAGGCGCCGGCGAGAAACAATGGGTAGAGTTTCTTTCACCCTATGCCCCCTGTTACCTAGCAGTAAAATAGGTACCTGGGTGTTAGTCAGCTGTCACGGGCTGCTTCCTGGGGGTGGTGGAGGCCTGGTCGGGGACCGGGCCGCGGGGACACTAAAGCCCCGAAATCATCTCAAGATCTATCACAACTTGCAATTTGCATAAATGGTGTTGATGACAGGCAAGTAATTATCACAACAAGGCATGAATTAAGCCGGTTGGTGAAACTATGCAATTTACAGCAGTTTGTGGAAGTGATAAGAGATAATTGGGACAATAACAAGTGTTGACATCTTGGTGAGTTGACTGGACAAATTAGCCGCTGACTGGACAAATTAGCCGCTGACTGGACAAATTAGCCGCTGACTGGACAAATTAGACGCTGACTGGACAAATTAGACGCTGACTCGACAAATTAGCCGCTGACTGGACAAATTAGCCGCTGACTGGACAAATTAGCCGCTGACTGGACAAATTAGCCGCTGACTGGACAAATTAGCCGCTGACTGGACAAATTAGCCGCTGACTCGACAAATTAGCCGCTGACTCGACAAATTAGCCGCTGACTCGACAAATTAGCCGCTGACTCGACAAATTAGCCGCTGACTCGACAAATTAGCCGCTGACTCGACAAATTAGCCGCTGACTCGACAAATTAGCCGCTGACTCGACAAATTAGCCGCTGACTCGACAAATTAGCCGCTGACTCGACAAATTAGCCGCTGACTCGACAAATTAGCCGCTGTCTGGACAAATTAGTCGCTGACTGGACAAATTAGACGCTGACTGGACAAATTAGACGCTGACTGAACAAATTAGACGCTGACTGGACAAATTAGACGCTGACTGGACAAATTAGACGCTGACTAGACAAATTAGACGCTGACTGGACAAATTAGACGCTGACTGGACAAATTAGACGCTGACTGGACAAATTAGACGCTGACTGGACAAATTAGACGCTGACTGAACAAATTAGACGCTGACTGGACAAATTAGACGCTGACTGGACAAATTAGACGCTGACTGGACAAATTAGACGCTGACTGGACAAATTAGACGCTGACTAGACAAATTAGACGCTGACTGGACAAATTAGACGCTGACTGGACAAATTAGACGCTGACTGGACAAATTAGACGCTGACTGGACAAATTAGACGCTGAGTGTGGCTAGAAACAACACAACAGCTGTGAGCGCCCGCCACGATTATTGCAATTTGCATTGCAATATTCATAGAGGTTTTGTACAGCGACGCAAGAAAAGTTTTAATGTCAACTGTCACGCGGACTGTGAACTATAGTCAAGGAAGAGACCCAGGCTGACATTACAGGGTCATGAAGGTCTCCTGTGCTGAAGTTAGATCACAATCAGCAGAAACCACTAAGCCAGAACGGCTATATAAGCAACCAAGTCCCCTTGAAAATATATATATACGGGCTCACCGTAGCCCGTGCTACTTGGAACTTGTTCCGAGTAGCTGAATCTATGACAACAACAACTTGAAAATATCGTCACTTTTGGCTCGTATGCGCGGTGCTATGGCCACATTTGGACGTAATTTGAAATGAAATCGACTCGCAAAAGTGACGTACTGTTTCTGTTTGAGTCGTCCGGCCTACTCGGAAAGGTTAGAAGAGAAAACTTTCAATTAACGTTTTTTCATAACGTTTTGAAACTTTATGAGAATTTCCTGCCCACCTAACCTACCAGAGGACCCTTAACTTACTGTTGTTGAAAAAAAAATTGCCAAATTTATTTTTAATTTATTTTAATTCACAAGTCCAGCGGACAGCACGCTGGACTTGTGATCCTGTGGTCCTGGGTTCGATCCCAGGCACCGGCGAGAAACAATGGGCAGAGTTTCTTTCACCCTATGCCCCCTGGTACCTAGCAGTAAAATAGGTACCTGGGTGTTAGTCAGCTGTCACGGGCTGCTTCCTGGGGGTGGAGGCCTGGTCGAGGACCGGGCCGCGGGGACACTAAAAAGCCCCGAAATCATCTCAAGATAACCTCAAGATAACCTACATACATATAAAGAGTTTTAGGCTGATATCTCTACCCGCCCCCCACCCCCGACCCCCCCCCAAAGCATTGAAGTAATGTCGTGCCAAATTTTCTTCACTTATATTGATTGGAATTTGATTCTGTTTGAGTGCGAGTTTTTGAGTGCTTGTGGTGGCAAATAGTTATTAATAAAAAGGGGAAAAAAGAATATTCCAGGATCAAAAGTTTGTTCAATGATTATTTCCATGTATGAAAGCCCATATGCCTGTGAACAGTTCATTTCTGCAAGCAACATTTAACATATCAACAGCGTCAGGTTAGCTTAGCATTTTAAAAGCACCGAATCACCTTCTGTGGTTGAGTGTTCAATAAACCCTTGAACTATATGTTTAACACATCTCTCACCCTGTCCATGGAAGACAGAAGAAAATGTGTGTGTATATATATATGTCGTACCTAGTAGCCAGAACTCACTTCTCAGCCTACTATGCAAGGCCCGATTTGCCTAATAAGCCAAGTTTTCTTTAATTAATATATTTTCTCTAATTTTTTTCTTATGAAATGATAAAGCTACCCATTTCATTATGTATGAGGTCAATTTTTTTTTATTGGAGTTAAAATTAAAGAAGATATATGACCGAACCTAACCAACCCTACCTAACCTAACCTAACCTATCTTTATAGGTTAGGTTTGGTTAGGTAGCCGATAAAGTTAGGTTAGGTTAGGTTAGGTAGGTTAGGTAGTCGAAAAACAATTAATTCATGAAAACTTGGCTTATTAGGCAAATCGGGCCTTGCATAGTAGGCTGAGAAGTGCGTTCTGGCTATTAGGTACGACATATATATATATATATATATATATATATATATATATATATATATATATATATATATATATATATATATATATATATATATATATATATTGGTTAGCATTGTAAATGCCCGGCCACGTCTGTGGTAGAAAAATAATAATAATAAAAAAACCAGCTTTATCTTCACCTTACTGATGAACATATGAATTCAAAATTCAAAACAACTGTAACTCAGTTATTTGTTGCAACGTTTGACGCAATTTGACGTCGACCAGGAGACCTGGTCGACGACCGGGCCGCGGGGACGCTAAGCCCCGGAAGCACCTCAAGGTATATGCAACACGAAGAGATGCCAAATGTCACCA